ACTGAATTTTAACTAATATTTCAAAAAAGTGTTAGCACTCGAATATGACAGTAAACTGATAATTGTTTATTATGAAAGGCAAACAAACTAAAATACATATTTGTAATATAAAAAATTACAAAAAAAAAATGTTAGAAGAAGCAAGGCCGTCCCATTTTTGTGTAAAAATTAATTTTCATAGATGCATGGATGCTAAAAAAATAGGTTTGCGCGAGAATTAAATAAATTAATTTTCGGTTTCGTAGTGCAAGTGTATTGGGCGTATATTTGATTTAATTTATGTAATATTAATTTCGCAAATAAATGAATGATGCTCTTTAATACTTAAGTAAAGTTTGTAGAAAAAGTTAAATATACGAATAGGATATGAAAAATGCCTCACAGCGAATAAGCTCATAATTTATGTAGCCTAAGACATGCTGATATGACCTAAAGGCATTTAGAAAAAATCTGTAAAAGCTGCAAAACTCCCAAGCCTAGGCAACGGCTGGCTATTTAGCTACCTACATATGTGCATACCATTAAGGCACTGTCCAGCAGGCAACAATATACGCAGCTGTCATATTCACAAAATTTTTGGGATGATTTAGATGTAAAAATACCTGTTTTTTTCTTTAAATCCTGGAATTTTCTTGCAGGAATTTACCTATAAATACTAGCTAAATATTTAATAAACCATAGCCATGACAATGAAACCCTATGTATAGCCGAAGAAACGCCATCCTTGCAGCTGCTATTGAATAATCTGCTTCAAGCTCAATATCATTACGCTTATACTTACTTTAATAGTAGTACCACAACGCCAAGGCGCTTTTGCTACTAGTCGCTAGTCGGTTGGTTGCCCTGCAACGAATGCGGTAAGCATATTTTATGGTTGCGGATTGCATTCAAAGGACGGCCAATAGAAAGGAATTTCACAGGACTACAGGTAATAGGTGTAGTATTGAGTGTCAGACCGAAAGCGGTAGCTATACATAAATACACACGCACACGCTCAAACACAGTCACCATCACATACATATTTGCGATTCAGAGTAGTGGCATTGATAGCGTACTATGTATGAAGACACTAACAGTACGTAATAGAGAAAATTTGCACAAAAGCTGCTGCCTCGAATTTCTTCACGAACCAAGTTAATTTATTACGCCAAATGCCTTTGTGTAAATTTAGGAGCAAGGTGAAGAAAGAATGTAAAATAAGGTGAAAAATTGGATGGAAGTTAAGCGCGGATTTATATGAGAACCGATGCACTTAAAATAAGTAGAGAATTTAAAATGCACTGATAATACACAACGTATACACAAGTACAGTGAAACCTCGATAGAACAGAGTCCTTCTAAGTAATACCAGCTTATCCGTGCGAATTATTCACATCCAATATTTTGGAATAAAATGGAAAGGGCCAAAATAATTTTGCAAGAACTGTGATTGCATAAGTTGGATTGGGACGAAACAATTCCCATGGCACTAGAGACAAGTTGGCACATCTTTAAAGAAAACTTTAAGAAGCTTTCTGAAATAAAAGTGCCTCGTTTCGTAGGCATACGTTTGTTGTCGAAAATTTAAATACATGGTTTTACAGATGCTTCTATGCGTGCATACGGCTGTTGTTTATACATACGAAACGAGCACCAAGGAAACATCGAAACAATACTACTAACTGCCAAATCAAGGCTTGAGTTATGTGCTGCTCATTTGTTAGCTAACTTATGGAAATCTGTCGCTCCCATAGTAGTTTCAACTGCTGAAAAAGTAGTATTTTGGAGCGACTCTGAAATCGTGTTGGCCTGGCTAAAAAAGCACCCAGCAGCGCTTTCGACATTTGTTGAAAATCGCGTAGCTGATATTCAAGGTCACACAAATTCAGCTAGTTGGCGTCATGTGCCAACAGCTCATAACCCGGCTGACATTGTATCTCACAGTTGTAATGTTGATGAACTACAGAAGTCCATTTGGTTTAACGGACCACAATTTTTACGTAAAAAGGAAGAAGAATGGCCAAAAAATTCGCATTTCGTGGCTTCAGACAAAGTCAAAACATTGGAAGTTCGAAAGTCGAAAGCTATAGCACTTGTCGTCGAAAATGAGCCAAAAATTATATACCAAGTTATTGAGTCTTGCTCCTGTAATTCAAAAGTGTTACGCATACTCGCATATATTTGTAGATTTATTAAACCAACAAATATGAAAAATAGAGTTTTACCGGTCAAAGAGCTGGAATTATCATTCTTCAAAATAGTAGAAACAATTCAAGATTACTAAATTTGAGCTGGAAATATTAAGAACGCGCCGCTCACGCAGCGTATCCCTGGAACCATTTTAAGGTAAACTTAGAGCGATTGAAATTTGTCGGATGCCTAGCGTGCAGACGAGATTTTTTAATTTCATAGTTTTAAACGCCCTAAATAACTTAACTCGCTTACATACACCCAAAAAAAACTTCTCTTAATTGAAGAAAAGAAGCAATCAAAATGAAGAAAAATGGGAACGAAACAGCACTAAAGAAGTTTTATCCTCTTTTCATGCCCAATATTTCTTCAAAATGATAGATTACATCCAAGGTCCCATATTTTCGTGTACGTTTTTACACATTCCAAAGAAAAATTACGCATTCGGGAGAATTTTTTAGTTTTTCTTTGATACAGAGATGGATTTTTGGTTCAGTGTATATTATAACAAAATAGCTATAACAAAATGGGCACAGAAATAAAATATACCATCTTTAAATAATTTTACATATTCGTATAAAAACGTGGCGTGAAACCCGCGGGTATAAGCTAGTCCTTTATTAAATATTTCGTCGCCCAGATAAATAATGTCGTACCTGTAAATTGGTCCAAATTTCGTTAATAATGGATATGCTGTTTATGGGTCGATTACAGATGGCAATAGAATGTCAGTTGGGTAAATAAATAGGAGCCGAATTTGCACAATCAACAACCTATGTGGCGGTTTTTGGAGTATTTGAGAGAAAGGTTTTGAGGAAGATTTACGCGCCTTTACGTGTTGGCGGCAACGAGTATCGCAGATGATGGAACGATGAGCTGTATGAGCTTTACAACGATATGGACATAGTGCAGCGAACTAAAATACAGCGGCTCCGCTGACTTGGCCAAGTCGTTCGAATGGACACCGACGCTCCAGCTCTGAAAGTATTAAACTCGGAACCTGCTGGTGGTAGCAGAGGATGAGGGAGGCCCCCACTGCGATGGAAAAACCAGGTGGCGAAGGACTTGGCTTCACTTGGCATTTCCAATTAGGGTCAGTTGGCACAGAAGAGAAACGACTGGCGTGCTTTGCTGAACTCGGCCAAAATCGCTTAGGCGGTTACAGCGACAAAGAAGAAGAAGTTAGACGCTCTCTACCTTTTAAGTAAATTAGATCATTTTCCCACTGTTATACCCAGAAAAAGGTTCATTTATCAATCTACTTTTGGACCGCTTTCGTGTACAGTGTTTGGAAAAGTTAAGAAAGATTAAGAGCTCAAACTTTCTATTGTGTGTAATCGACGGCATGCAACTAAATTTGACTTTAATTTTTAAGAAACTAATAAAAACTATAGATACTAGGCGCTGAAATTTGTTCCAAGTGTCCAATTTTTAATATGCGTCTTGAGATCAAACAAATACATAGTCTTAAGCCGACCGGTAGGTGAAATTTTTTAGAGGCTCTTTGTTGGCATAAATACCCTTTGTTAGATATTGCTAGGATGCGGGGTACAATTTTCTCTACTTACTTAAACATTTAAACTAAAGCCACACTTACCTAGCGGCGCGAAGTAGAGTAATCGCCTTTTCGAATTGTTGATCACGCAAAAAGCGATGCAAACGCGTCATACAGTCTTCCCTGAAAATAAAAGAAAAGAAATTTACATTTCAATTTTAAAATAAAAACATGAAAGGAAAATCAAAATTAATCTAAACTGCGCACAGAGCGCTTACATATATACACATGCCTATGTATGTACAATGCATGTATGTATCTATGAATGTATGTATATACTATACACGAAATGTGAAATCATCACAATACTCACGAGTATTGCACATAAGCGCATCCTAAAGGAAATACAACAATAGGATATCAATGAAAAAAAAAACTAAAAATAAAGCGCACATACACTTGCATACACAACAAAAAAATTTTAGAAAAGTTCAAAGGATTATAGCAGACATTGAGTACATGCGTGTTGAGTAAAGGTATACAATAAGATTATTGCAAAATAACATGTAACTACATATATAGATATAGGTGTATTTACATAAGAACGTTACATATGTATATATGTACACTAGGCGACAAATGAAAGTGCACACCTCGTTCTAATATAATGTTCACAATTATTTTCATGAAAAATTGTTTTTTATTAATTATACCGTGCGACAAAAACAAACAAATTTCAAAACACACGAAAGAATCGATATACTCACAGAACTAAGGGCCAAATATAGCAAAATTTTTTTTTTAATTTTTCGCCCTGACGTCAGGATTTTTTTCAAAGGACTTTGAAATTTTAAACATATGGTTAATTCAAAAAATTATTTTTAAAAAAAATCAGTGAAATGTAGAATAACAATATGGGTGCCAAATAAGAGGAAAAAATCTGTTAAGTTAATAAAGTTTGCAGTACGAACTTCCTCAAACAATAATTAAAAAAAAANACTAAGCGTTTAGAAAAGTTAAGAAAGGTTAAAAACTCTAAATTACAACCCTTTTGTAGGCACCATCGAATATTTTATTGTATGTAATAGACGGCATGCAACTAAATTTGACTTTAATTTTTAAGAAACTAATAAAAACAATACTAGGCGCTGAAATTTGTTCCAAGTGTCCACTTTTTAGTCTGCGTCTTGAGATGACACAAACACATAGTCTTAAGCCGACCGGTAGGTGAAATTTTTTAGAGGCTCTTTGTTGGCATAAATACCCTTTGTTAGATATTGCTAGGATGCGGAGTACAATTTTCTCTACTTACTTAAACATTAAAACTAAAGCCACACTTACCTAGCGGCGCGAAGTAGAGTAATCGCCTTTTCGAATTGTTGATCACGCAAAAAGCGATGCAAACGCGTCATACAGTCTTCCCTGAAAATAAAAGAAAAGAAATTTACATTTCAATTTTAAAATAAAAACATGAAAGGAAAATCAAAATTAATCTAAACTGCGCACAGAGCGCTTACATATATACACATGCCTATGTATGTACAATGCATGTATGTATCTATGAATGTATGTATATACTATACACGAAATGTGAAATCATCACAATACTCACGAGTATTGCACATAAGCGCATCCTAAAGGAAATACAACAATAGGATATCAATGAAAAAAAAAACTAAAAATAAAGCGCACATACACTTGCATACACAACAAAAAAATTTTAGAAAAGTTCAAAGGATTATAGCAGACATTGAGTACATGCGTGTTGAGTAAAGGTATACAATAAGATTATTGCAAAATAACATGTAACTACATATATAGATATAGGTGTATTTACATAAGAACGTTACATATGTATATATGTACACTAGGCGACAAATGAAAGTGCACACCTCGTTCTAATATAATGTTCACAATTATTTTCATGAAAAATTGTTTTTTATTAATTATACCGTGCGACAAAAACAAACAAATTTCAAAACACACGAAAGAATCGATATACTCACAGAACTAAGGGCCAAATATAGCAAAATTTTTTTTTTAATTTTTCGCCCTGACGTCAGGATTTTTTTCAAAGGACTTTGAAATTTTAAACATATGGTTAATTCAAAAAATTATTTTTAAAAAAAATCAGTGAAATGTAGAATAACAATATGGGTGCCAAATAAGAGGAAAAAATCTGTTAAGTTAATAAAGTTTGCAGTACGAACTTCCTCAAACAATAATTAAAAAAAAAAAAAAATATTCCAAATTTTCAAGGATACTTACAAAATTTGTAATGGACATTTTCCATACGCAGTCGTCCTTATGCACCAAAAAATGTATTATGGCAGTTTTTGTAAATTGCACTTGCTACATTACAAAAAAAACCCAAAAGCAGTCCCAAAAAAAAATCTGAAAAATCAACGCGATTTTTAAGCCGGTTGAAACTTGCACTTTAATTTAATTGGCTACAAAACTGCACACCCGAAAATTTTCTACAAATTCTAAGTAAAAAGTTGAAAATTTTTATGAAAATTCTTTGAATTCTTGTGAATTTTTCATAAAGTATGAAACTTTGATTTATATGGTTTATATTATAGAATGAATTATATTTGCATAAATAATTAATGCAACAAATTCTTAATGAAAATAATTGTTAATATTATATTGGAAAAAGGAGGGGGGGGACGTTAATACAATCGACTAGTGTAAACTGCATACTAGAAAATTTTCTAGAAATGCTGAATAAAAAGTTAAAAATTTGTATAACAAATTTTTGGATTTTTGTATAATTAATGCAGCAAATTTTTAATGGAAATAATTGTGAATATTATATTAGAGGAAGATGGATACTTTACTTTGTCGACTTGTGTAAACTGCATACCCGAAAATTTTCTATAATACCTGAATAAAAAGTTGAAAATTTTCACGAAAATTTTTGGATTTTTGTGAACTTTAGATTTTTGATTTTGTAATTTTTGTGAAACTTTGTTTTGTATGGTTTTTATTAATCAATGAACTACATTTTCACAAAAAACAATGGATTACAAATTTTGATATGGTTTTTGTTCTCCAGACGCCACTATCCAACTTGTGTGTTGAATCCCCCGCTGATTCCAAAAATCGAGTTACTTTTTTATTCTATGGATACGTTTTCGAGTTATTTTTAATTTACCGCTATTCAGCTTAAAACAAAGGGTGGCCCCACTTAATGACTTATATCTCATGAACCAATTTAACAAACTGAAAATGGAATACGACAAGTGAAAGCTAACAAAATTTTACAGAAACCGTCTATACGTCACTTTCTGACAAATTAATTAATCATTCCAGTTTTTTTTTTTGTTATGAAAAAAATAAGACTTTAGCAGAAGATAAATTACAAGTAAATTGAAAATATCTCGAAAACATATAAATAGAATAAAAAATTAAGCCGATTTTCGGAATCGGTTTATAGAAATTGGACAGTAGCATCCATTGAACCTTTTTGGCTGTAAACCAGTGTAGTTAATGTAACAAAATTTTAATGAAAATAATTGTGAATACTATATTAGAACAAAGTGAACACTTTCATTTGTCGCCTAGTGTATTTAAGATTAAGTACATTAGGGTAGTCTAAAAAAATACATACCTTTGTTTTTCAGTTTTTACAAAAAAAAAAAAAATTTTGATCTGCCTCGAACCCCATGAAGTTTCACATGTACATATTTTATATGGCGAAAAACACTCTTTCGTGGAAATGGTATAGAATTCTTGAAAATCAATATTTATCTCTTTAGAATACTTGCCAGTAACGATACCCAATTGTTTATTTGACCATCAAAGTTTTCCGATCGAGAAATATAAACTTGCAAGAATTTTATACCATTGCTACGAAAAAGTGTTTTTCACCATATATGCATGGTAAAATCATTGAAAACTTTATGGACTTTGAGGCAGTTCATATAATTTTTTTAATAAGAAAATACGAGTATTCTTTGTTTACATTTAGAAAAATCGTAGAGGGTGAGAACCTAACATTTTAAACTTTTTTTCGACCCTCCTAATGTACATACATATCCGCCATGGTGTATGTGAATACATACATACAAATTTGTACACTGGGATACATATATGTATGTGGCATAGCATATACCTGCTAAATTTACAAAAAGTGGCGGCTGAACTTGGCAAGTAAGAAACGCAAATTGAATCATAAAAGGAATTTAATTTTATAAATTTTCACAATGAAATGCGTAGGTATACAGGGTGCGCTCGACCACAATTCCACCGCCTTTAAAACGGAGGGAAATGGGATTTTTGTGGCAATCCCAGATTCGATCGGAAGCCCCTGAATCTCACGGTGAAAAATCCAATCAGGGAATTTTATCATTTAGGCGTCTGCCGTAATTGATTGGCTAAAGCTATGTACGTACATACGACTACATGTTCAGTAGTTTGCGGGTTTATAAAATAATAAAGTTTCAAATATAATCCTATAAAAAAAAAAAAATAATTTTTATAAATAAAATATTGATAAAGGAGCTTAATTGAAGAAAAACCATTTGCTTAAAAGTATTATATCTTACTTTTGATCGTCAATGCTTTTTTCAGCTGTCGCATCGAATGGCAAAGGTTGATCCTCCTCTGGCAACTGGAGTTCACTGGTGAGTACTACGCTTACTTCACCGGCGATTTCAGCCCATTTATTTGATAATTCCTCCTGAAAAAAAAATGAAATTTAAAAGATGGTGTACAAATTTTTTTGTATAATTAAATATAAATTCTCTAGGTATGTATGCATATTGGGGTGCCCCAGAATTTAAGGAGCGAAGAATCATTTGGGATTTCCAATTGGCGTCAGTTGGCACAAAAGAGGAACGACTGGTGTGCTTTATTGGCCAAAATCGCCTAGGCGGTTACATCGCCCAAATAAGAAGAAGAAGAAAGATGTTTAACACTCGTGTACTTTCATAGATCCTTTTTAGAGTTTGGTTTTTTCATAAGGAAATTTTTACTTACTGCAGAGATTGAAAACTTTAGCAAAGTCTTGTTTTCTTTGACTTTACAAGACAGTGCAGGACATCGATAATATAACTTCAGAGGATAAAATCCTTATAGTGAGAGAAGATGCTAATTATATGGCCAGTTTACTCTAACATTAATAAAAAATATCTAGTGATTACATTTTTGCTTAGTATTTCACGAGCATCCCTAAAAGACAGTCGAACAACAATAGCCTAATATTAGCATGTTCATAAGTGAAGAAGAAAGCTGTGCGCCCAGTCAGCAGCTAGAGCGATATAACAAATTTCCTGCAATTAAAATGAGTTTACCATAGTTGAAACAAAAATCTTCCTAATCTGATATGGTGGTCATACAACAAAATACGCGTTATACAGTTACTGTATATTTAACTTGGATTTTCGAGTTCTAATGTGACACATTACGATAAACCACCCGAATTCGAGTTTTAATTCTCTAACTGTTATTTACTCAAAATAAAACTCTAATTTTACACAAGAGAGAACGAGCATTTTTTTACTGCCTTTGTTGCTCTACCTACAAAATTTGCATATTTAATTGTAGTGCTGGTGGAAAATAAAATCCGATTTTATTGTCGATAAATTGTAGATTATTTTACTACAAATATAAGTAAGTGCTTTTTCCGATTTCCGCACATTTTTAGTAATTTACATGTGAGAATTTTCATTTAATTGGCAATGCCTGAAAGCAAAACAGTTTGTTTCGCAGATAATCTATTACTTAAAATGCATACATATGTACATATCGTCACCTGAAATGCAAAATAACGTAACAACATCGTCACTGAAATGGAAAAAGTCGTTACTAATTTTTACTTTTTTTTCATAAAACGACGTGGGAGGTGTAATTCGATGAAATCCATCATAGCAATCAAAAAGTGAATTTTGAATTTTTTATAAGTTACGACTTTTTGCATTTCAGTGATGATGTTGTTACGTTATTTTGGATTTCAGGTGACATTAGGGGTATTCTCGAAATGTTGCACGGGGCAATGATTGGACGAAATGCAAAAATACTATTCCAAATTTGGAAGGTTACGAGAGCACCCCAATCAAATACAATAACAAGATACAGCAAAAAAAAAATGAAGTGAGCGAGATGAGAGGAATGAGAGAAAAAATTAGCAATTCCAACAACAAAACAACTAGCACAGGGTCGCAATTATTTTGCTATGCGTTTTGCAAAATATATACATGGGTTTCGACGTTGCATATTTTGCAGCGATAGGAAATGGTATTTCCCATATATTTGGTTGTTGTGTGTTAACAAGTTATGCAATCCGTGCTACGTGCAACGGTTTTGCAAGATTTGGAGAATACCCCTGATTTGTAAGTACTAGATATGTTCAAATTAGTACATACCAGTCTGTTCTAGTGCCCATGTACTATGTGTAATTTAAAAAGCCACTACCGAAATGAAACAGTGAGTTTTATATATTAATTCCGGCTTAGTTTTAGTATTCGTTTTCCTATTAAATATATTAGGTATACTTAAATTCGGTTATGCATACACTCCGCCTTACTAGAATAGGTACAAATTTATTCCTTAAGCTTTGAGCTTATCTGTATGGCTCATGTATGAACTAGTATGACATGTGACGCCACACAGTGGGGAAATTTGTATGGATGTGCGGAATTAATTAATAACTGGAGTAATAATTAAGGTACCGCAATAAAAATTAGCGAATATGTAAATGGAGGCCAAAGAATGGATGATGTGGAAAATGGTTTAAATCCGACAATAAACACGCCCACTTTTCATACAAGGGCGCGGAATTAATTTTTAATTGGAGTAAAAATGAAGGTGTCTCAATAAAACTTAAGGAATATGGTAATAGATGGCCAAGAATGGATGTTGTAGAAAATTGGCAAAATCGCAGAATAATCACACTAAGACAATGTCCAATGTTTGACTGCTGCGAAGGTGGTGGATCTGTCACTTGCTCAATCTCTGATAATGCACCACAATCTCTGATAGTAGTCACCGTAAAGCGATTTGCAAGCCAATCTTCGTTTTTGGAAATGAAAAAATTGTGATCCGTATAGCCATTTTCTAAACTTAGGTAGAAAGTGTCGGCTCAATTCGCTAGATATTAGCTGCAGAGGGTTCGGTTTTAGATCCTGGTGCTGCTGGTACTTCAACGCACTTATCAATACCCCAATTGCTTGAAATGGACACATCACTTAAATCCATTTCAGAAATACTGAAAGTGGCCATGATTTCGAAGAAGATTTCCTTTAACAGCTTTAAGAAGATTTCTTAAGAACTCAAGAGGATATGCATGCGCATGGGTTGTGACAAAAGTTTTTATGAAAGCAATTCCTAAGAAATTAATAAAAATGTAAAACAAACGTTTTTCTTAAAGAAAAATATTAGAATTGAAAATGGCTGATTTTACCCACCATAAGAAAAAAAACTGGGTTTTCAAGATGGTTGCGATTTAACAACTCCTCGATTCCTTAATCAAACTTAATATTCCCTGCGACTTGCTTCCCAGTATTTAAAACGAATAACTAGACCACCATTAAAGAAAAACGACTGGTTAGGAATTTTCTAACTAACATATTTTGTCAAAAAAATAATTCCTATGTAAATGTATGAAGTCGTGTGTTTATTCCTTATTTCCAATGAGGTAGATATAGGCAGCTAAAAATAGTGTATTGATCCCAAAGCTTTAAGGGATCGTCAGTAATAAAAACCTAGCGGGAGCAAGTGGTGGGGCAAGCACTTTATATTACTTTCATTATTCAAAATCTCAATAATATTGAGCTTCTTTTTTCAGAATCATATTGTCACAAACCAAATAAAGTTACGCCAGCCTTTAATATGTCATTCAACACGGTATATAACGTAAATAAAAGTTTAAGGCTAATGTTCAAATCACCTATTAATGGTTCACAACTTTTAAATATTATATTCATATAAACTTTATGGCTTGATTCTCGAGCTGACTACTTGCAAAATTAATCCTATTCGGCTTTTTTTTAGTAGGTCATATAGCATCGGTATGTAGAAGGCAATCCGTGTACGTTTTTTTTTTAATAAATTTGCGCCTTGAATATCTTCGACAGTTTGAATTAATTCTGCTCAGTTTCCTCTGTACGCCGTCCTGTTGAAAAACATATTTTAAATCAACATTCCATGCAATTTGTTTATGAAATAATCGGCTTTTATGGCGCTATAGCGTTTGCCATTGTTGTGCATAGCTCTTGCATTTGCAATATATGGTGCATTTTCAAATTCACAACAATAAAATTCACATGGTTGCCGTGACAGCAAGGATGAAATTTGCAAATGTAATTCCAACTGCAAATGGAAGACCATTTCCACATAAGCCTGAACAGCCCTAATATTTTTCGATCGGAAAACTTTGCATCGCTTCACTAGACCTCCAATAATAATATGTACCCAATTGTTTATTTTACCATTTTTTAATACATATTAGCTCTTTTATATAAGTAGGTCCCCAAAATACAATGCAAAATTACGCACTTATTCGCAATACAGGAGCGAGGAGGTATCGAGCATAACCAAGCAAAAACGTTTTGGTCCTATTCCCAGGACCTAAACTTAATAGGAAAAGTTTGGATTCGGATGTTTTACAAAGTATACGAGTCAGACAATTCATATGATGATTGGCAGTTGTTCTTTCCCGCGATTAAATTTGTAAGCTGCGCCTCTAGATCTTGAGGAAGAAATGTGTACCTATTCAACTGATGCGCAGCGTATAAAAAATTTTACATTACGCATCGACCAATGCTGCAACTTTGTGATATTATAAAACATTCAGATTTATTAAAGAATAAGTTTATTTCGATATATGTACAGTCCCTCACAGAATTATTGGCACAGAGAGTTTTTCCCAATGTATGCAACATTTTTCTTCTTTCAATCAGTCGTCTAAGTGGTAAATGGTTCCAGCAGGATAGTGCAACAAGCCGTGCAGCGCATGAAATCATCATTTTATTGCGACTAAATTTTGATGGCCGAATCATATAAAGAAATGGGTCTGTTAATTGGCCACCTAGATTATATGACTTGGCTGCGTTAGATACTTTTTGTGGCGGTAAGTCAAGTCAAGTCAAATGGCCCATGCTATGAAAAAAAGGAAGCGAAGCAAAAGTGGATCGACAGGATGGTCATCATAACAGGAAGCAATTTTAAAAACAACTTTTAGTTGAAAGCAACAATCGCCTGGTGTAAATGACCCTTCAGCTAATCGGTTTCAATTCCAAAAAAACTTTAACTTATAAAGCCAATATATAACTACAGTTAGAATAATAAAATTATAAATACGAACATGTACGAATAATATCGATGTTGCCTGAACAACAAGGAGCAGTCCACAGGGTGGAGTGTTATCTCCGCTATTATGGGAAAAACTGCTCCTGGCTTACTTGCCAGGGGTACGCTGACGGCACTGCAAAAATATGTAAGGGGAAATTAGAAAACACCCTGTGTGATAGAATCCAGCTAGGGCTGAATGTGTGCTAAGGTGGGGCTGAATGTAAATCCAACAAAAACCACTACAACACCATTCCACTAGACCAAAACTGCTTTGGAAAGCACATGTTGAAAAAACTGCGAAGAAAGCAGGAAAGAACTGGAGATGCACACCAAAGATACTGAGAGGGACCTACACGACGATAGTACAATCCATGCTAGTTTATGGAGCCC